TGTGAGAAACAGCCCTTTTTCCCATTCCCCCCCCCCCCCTTCTTCCTCACTCGTTTGCCCTAACACTGCCAGGTTTTAAGATGTTGTTTACCCAACTGTACTGCCCCAAGTGCATGCATCAGACTGACTACAATCACCCGAAAGTGTTTCCATTCACGAATATTGTTGAAGCCAGCCATTAAAGCCACCGGATTTTAACTTATGCAGCACCAGAGGACTGTCACTACTTTCCCAGTATAGCTGTAACAGCAAATACATGCATTCATTACGGAATATAAGCACCTACCACTCCTACACAAACAGTACATATGAAAAAGAAAGAGCCAGCTGTAAACCCACAGTCACTGATTAGGTCTTAGTGCATTAGGTAATTAGGTAAACAAGAGCACCATTCCCATACCAACAAGCTTCGTAAGGAGCAAATAGGAGACTGACAGATACAGCAGAAGGAATCAGCAAGCAGTGAAACAGTATTGATCAGTGCTACAGTCAATACTCTCAGGACGCGAGTAGTTTGGGAAGGAGGTTCTGACTGGGGATTTTTGGCAGCAAAAAATCATTTAGAAAAGGATTTAAAAGACAGTGAGACAGAATAAAGGGTGCTCTCAAAAGGGCTTCCAAAGCAGCAAAGAATAAGGAAGAAAAACATTAATATGGCAATGTGAAAACAAGTATCTGAATGATGATGAAAATTTACAGGCTTATTGCCACAGTGCCATCTATGGATTTGGAAGCAAAGAGAGTTAACTAAATAAAGTTACAGCTCCTTTTGGAATAGGTATGTATTTGAGAAGTTGCATTTGTTAAGGTCAGAGAAAAGAACATAAACCACAGTGAGAGCATGGGCGAGACTTTTGACTGTGTCAAAACAAAAAGCAGGAGGTGGGGGGAGAAGAGGAAGAAGAGAACCAAGGAGTCAGTATAAATTCCATACAAAAATTAAACGTGATCACTGTTTGGATCCTCACAACCAGACACCATCAAAAGCGACAAAGGAAAGACTTGATGGTTTTGATTTTAAAAGCTTTATTTTTACCACAGGGACCTCAAGTCTTTGTCAGGTGCCTGCAGAAACTTGGACAGAGAGAAAGATCTAAGTAAAAATCTGTCCAAGATTACCATACAGATAATAATTTCATATGTATGTTTCCTCATCTGAATAACCTCATCTGAATTTTGTGGCGATTATCAGCACCAAAAACACTGGTGAAAGTCACAGGAAAGTAAAGACAACTGCTGAAGGTGGGAGGAAGTCTCTCTCTTCTACGTGAGAAGGCAAACAAATAACCCTAAGAGCAGCAACAATATGCATCAAATAACCAATTTCACAAACACAAGGCTGACCTACATTATAAATTGACACATCACATTCACTGACCTGCATATTTTAGCTAAAAATTATTTTTAAAATTTTAAACATTATTTTTAAAATTGCACTGGAATTATGTTTTTATCTATACTTCTTTTATTCAATGATCACAACTCCCTTAGACAACACAGCAAAAATTAGATCATTTGCTTGTACTTCATTAGGGCACTTTTCCTTTTCCTCAAAGGACACACAGGTCATTCTTTGACAGTGCCTTAACATAAGAGTTATACACCATAAATGTTTGAATCATGGAACTGAAAGTTATGCATACCTCTGAATCAGACACAACATCCACATCATTTCCAATTGAGTCAATGAAGTCATACGCCATTCCAAAGCTATTTAGAAAATATTACAAGTTAAGACATGAAGCGTGACATTAAAAATACAGCTACTTGTTCTCCAAGCATGCTCAGCTTCTGAAAGCATTTTCTTCATGAAAAACAGAACCTAGCTAAACATTACTAGCTCTAATGAGATCAGAAGTTAATTAACAAAATCATTTTGAAGTTCCACAAGTTCAGTAATACTGTTGGAATTATTTACATTCAAGTTCAAGACATTCCAAAAAGTAGGCTAAATTTTTTTTAGAAAAAGCTAAAGAAGTCAGAAAAAAATTAAGCTGTCTTAACATACACATTAACAGAGGAGCTGGGTTCTACAAAATGCCTTCCTCTCCCCTCCATTTTTTTTAGTAAAAAGTAGTAAGTCAGTTTTGAAAAGTTTCTCTCTTTAAAGATTTAAGCATGCTTTATTCCTGAATTTTGTCAGCTGTGGTTTTATTTTGCTTCTGTATAATGTTTTTTTTCCTCCTGTTTTCAACACAGGAACTTGGCTTACATATTTTAACAAACATATCCTTATTTCTTTATCTGCCCTTATTAATGCCTCTCTAAATTACAAGCTATTTAAATTGGACTATTTCAATAGTCAATATTGTTCTTTCAAATTAAACCAGGAATTACCATAACATAATAAAATACATGATATATAAATGTCTGAATTCATACCCTCACTCTTAGGTTTTAATATTGCCACTAGAGACAGAGAGAACAAACTGCCTCTATTTGACAAACAAACACAGTATTTAAAAATTAATAAAGCCTGTAGGAAAAACATGTGGGCGCACTCAAAAATGCACGTCACCTAAAATCAGTTAGGAGGATTTAAACACGGATCTCCTGCACACTATTGATTTTCACTAACGAGTTGACTTAGTATGACTTTGCTTGCTCAGGACAGAAGCTAAATCTCCTGTCTAGAAACACTCTGAACTCACCTCATCCAACTAGTTAACAAACATCCCTACAGAAAGATAGCATTGCTTTTTAGTTTTACCACTTATTTTAATTCCCTTGCATATTCTTGACAGGACTATGAAGTTTCTTTTTCTATTAGTTAGCCAGTTCTGATTTCTAAAGATTAAAACCAGGCTAGCTGAACCAGTCTGGTTTGATTTTGACCAACTGACAGGCAGCCAATCACAGATCAATAGGAAGTCAGTTTGACTGTCTCATGCAAGGTGTGTCAACATGCATTTGACAAAAAAATCCATCGGCATTACTAGCATCCTTAATCATCTATAAAGGAGAGAAGACAGCACACAGGAAAGAACCAAGGAAGAAAAAGAAGAGGGAGAGTGGTGAAGTAAGACATATTTACAATGACAAAAAGTATGTACAATACTTTGAATTACAGGGGGCCAAGTTCACTGTTAAATTTATTCTTAAGAGTTTGGGAAAAAATAATAGAGCCTGATGCATTTACCTTGAGAAGGGTTTACTTTTCTTGTTGTTGCCAAGAATGGTTGTACCTGCCGGTCCTAGCTTAGCGCTTTCACGTAACCAATTTGCAGGTGGGAGTTTCAAATCGGTCTTCTCTTGAAGACGGGCAAACGCCGCTTGCGGGGGGGCAGACGAGTATTTCACCACAGCACTGCTTTTTACCTCATTACCTCCGAGAAACAACAGCGACCCCTAGTTTTCAAAGAAAAATCAGCCCTTCATTTATGTAATGCACAAGTTAAAGCTATCAGATTTGGTTTTTGCGTCTGTTCACCTCCAGTGAAGGTGAGCCGTTTCTCAAAGGCAAGCAGCCGAGCTCGCAGCTTCGCTCCTCCGCCCTTCGCGCACGCCCGCCGACGTTGAGCCCCGACTCACCTCAACCC